AGAGTTAGCCGGTGGTGCAGGCCCAGGGAAGCAGCGAGAGGTGAGAACCGGGCCAGGACCAGAAGTGGTGCTCCTGGAGCCCAAGAAAGGGACTGGGTTGCTCTGGGTGAGAAGGGTCAGGAAGCAGTATTGGTTCCCCAGGTGTCTGGGGCCCCAAGACTAGGAATGGCGCAGGGCTCAAACTAGGAGTATAGAACGGCGAGGCGGGGGGATGGAAGGGTGAATCCAGGCTTCAAAATTTTAAACCAAATCACTTAAAGAAAATTAGAAGGGCAAAGGGAGGAGATGATAAATTTAGTTTCAGACAACAGGAGCTTCACAATGACACAGGATACACAAAGCAAAGACCATTAAATATGGATTGCTATGACATATTTAACATCATGTGAGCTGAAGCTTTACCAATAAATCAAAGTCTGTGATAGCTGTCCTCTCCTACTGTCCTAAAACTGTTATGGCAGAAGGGAGAGTATGCCAGTTCAGAAATTAAGTTGTAAAATCCTGAGACCAGGCCAGCAGAATGGCTTGGTAGGCAAAAGCACTTGCCAGGTAAGCCTGATGACCTGAGTTAACCCTCTAAAACCCTTGATGAAAGGAGAGAACTGACTCCCAAAAGTTGCTCTCTGACCTTAATACATGCCACAGCTCCCCCACCCCCACACATACACAGTAATAATGTGGAAAACAAATAAATAAATAAAAAACCTCGGGCCATCATCTTGTTCTCTTTCTTTCTTAGGAAAGCCAGCTTCCAGGTCACTCAAGCAATCTCAGTACAGAGACCCACATGATGAAGAATAGTCAATCAAGAAGTGAAGCCTACCAACACCATGAAGGAACTTACAAACACATCCTCCAGCACAGTGACGCCTGCAGATAACTAAGTCCACATGACACATTCACCCAACCCAGACTCACCCAGGGAAGTCACTTCTATACTGGGACCCTCAGAATGTGTGTGAGTGATACAGGAGATGCTGCTACATTGGGTTACCTTGTTGCATGGCAATGGACACTTCTATGTTACCAAGTTTTTATGACAAAATATATAAAAGACAAAAGTGCTTAGAACTAAACCTGACTGAGCAGAGAAAGGAGCAGGAGGCAATTTATCAGTTTGAAATCTACAGCAATAGCTGAAGGAAAAAGTATTTCCTTTCTTTGTTCCTCTGGAAAGTGTTCACTTTTCTTGTACCTTTCAATCAAAGTCACTGTGTAAGAACATGCACAGATGCCCCCTTTAACCTTTCCTTTTTCTGACTGAACCCTGGCATTTAACAAATTAGTAAGTGGGATGCTAACTGTTAGCTGCAGAACAGGATCAAATATTTCCTTGTTACAAAGTTGTTCAAAGTATGGACTGTTCAAGAGCTAATTCCCTGAAAAACATAAAATGTAGCTTCCTGGTTGTCGTTTCTAAATTTATTATAAGCAAACTGCTAGTATCGTGCCCCAAAATGAAAGCCCAAAGACACTCTAACAAGAATATGTATTGAGCTGCCATATAAAATATGAATCTTAAGCTGTAGCAAAGTAAAAGTACAAGCAGCTGGGTATGACAACACCTTTGATCCCAGCATTTGGGAAGCAGAGGCAGGCACATCTCTGTGAAATTGAGGCCAGTCTACATAGCAAATTCCCTGCCAACTGGGGCTATAGGAAGGCACTGTTTCAAGAAACCACATAAAAATAAGTAAAAGCAATGCAAGAATTCAAAATAAGAAAAAGTATTTATAAAGTATAATTATTACATAAAAATTCATTGAACAGTCACTGTGCCAAATGCATGCACACATTATATCAAGATACCTCTGCATACACCAGGAGCCTCATTTTATTGATGAGAATACCGAGATTTTTCTAAAATTCCATGGTTTGCCCATTGTCTCTCTGCTGTCAAGTGGGGGAGATATGACTGAAACCTAAGCAGTTCACCCTGAAGTTCTAGTTCTTTACCACTACTTCACATTCTTCCCCCCAAACCAGTGCTAACTGCCTCAGAGAAAATGGCTAATGAAGGCCAGCTGAGTCAGGAAGGCTTCAGGAGTGACTCACAACCAGTCTTAGATGTGCACACATGGAGGAGGAGACTCACAGTCCCCTCCCTGAGTGACTACAGGAGGGCGGTTCTCATGCAGGGAAAGGGCTTTTGGAACTGGATAAGAGATGTGTGGGAAGCCCATGACGCCCCAAGGGCACATGCTCAGGTCCTCTGGAGCTTGTCTGCTCACCTCCGCTCCTCTCCCCTGCTCTGAGCATAAGGACACAGGACAGAGCTAGCAGAACACAGGATTCCTGATCCCCTCCTCCTGCTTTCAGAAAGAGCTGCTAACATCCTGCAAGCATTCTGCTTTCTCTGCGCTGTTTATTGCATTCTGGGACACGTTTCCGTAAGTGTCACAGAATCATTTCATGCCAGGAGGGAAGACTCTCCTGTTACAAGCTGGTTTGTTTCCTTTCAGTAAACAATAAGAATTATATAACCCTTTCTCACATTTGTGTCTTGCTTTCCAGGAAACAAAAAGATAAATTTCACACTTAATTAAGATAATCATGTTTACCAACGATTCTAGTGTTTTTCTCTTATTTTAATTGGTTCACTTAACATATCTTTTATTATAGCCTATTTCAAATCCTTTTTTTTTTTTTTTTTTTCGGTCTTTTTGAGACAGGGTCTCCCTGTAGCTCCATCTAACCTGGAACTTACTATGTAGACCAGGCTGGCCTCGAACTCACAGACATTTGCCTGCTTCTGCCTCCCTAGCGCTGGAATTAAAAGTGTACGTCAGGCTTCAAATCCTTTTTTATAATGGGAATCAGGCTATCTCCCCTGTGACCCACATAATGCTGTTCTCTAATTCAGCGAGCCAGAGCTCTCCCTTTCTTCATAACAACCTCATTCTACCTATTCAGTCACATTACCATGTATGCTGTGTGTTCATGCTTCCTGTTCTTTATAACCCTATTGTCTTGCTCTAGCTATTTGTATTGTAAAAGCTTCATATTATTCTCCCTGCCTTCATTCTCAGCCCTCTCAACCTGCCCTCGTTCATTCATTTCCTCCAACCCATCAAAGCGATTTTTGACACAAAACATTGTCGTGTGGCTTAGAATTCCTCAATAACTCCCTCTTGCCTACAGAACAATCAAGTCATCACCCAACATACAGGACTCTGTATGTCTCGTTGGTGCCACCATATTTACTCAGCTATATCACACCCACTTCCTTTTCCTTGAAGACACTCCAAAAATACCTGCTCCTCCTTCGGGGTTGTTCACCTCAGAAAATGGCATCAGTATTTACCCAGCTGTTCACCCCAAATCTTTGTGTCATCCACAATTCACATCCTCAGCCAAACCACCAGAAAATCCCATCAGCTCTTCCAGTCACAGCACATCCACATGCAACTGCCTCACACCCCTCTAGTACTCACACAGTCCAGGTCACCACTGTCTATCACCTGGACTACTGCAACAGCCTTCTGACTGACCTCTCTGGTTCCATCCTTACACTCTCCACGGGAGCCAGCAGTTATCCTTGTAAAGTACAAACGAGATTAAGCTATTGTCCTGCACAAAACCTCCCACTAGCCTTCTTACACTTAGAACATACCAAAGTTCCTGCCACTGCCTAGAAGGCCAAAGCTTCCCACTTCTCACCAGGAAAGCTCTTCCCTAGGTGGTCAGATTGCTGGGGCCTCCATTTGGTTGTGGTCTCTGCCTTTCATTAGGGCCTTTTCTATTTCCCTATCTCAGTAGTTCTCAGCTATTTGATCACTGAGGCTGTTTTGGGTTGTTACATGAGGATTCTACCAGCACCTACTGGGTAGAAGGTCCTTAATCACTCTACAGTGCACATGACAACTCCTCACAAGGAATTAGAAAGCCTAAAACATCAACATGGTTGAATTGTGAGGTATCTTTAGTCCACTGGTCTGACCCTTCCCCTGCTTGATTGTTTTCTTCACATTACTATCTGATATTATTTCCTGATTTTCTCATTTGTTTATGCTCCATCTCCCTCACAAGAATGCAAGCTCCAGAAGGGCACATTTCTGGTTGATCTGTACATGTGTATTCACTCACAGCCAAGAAAAAGGTTTGGTGTATGGCTGGCACTCAGTAAATAGGTAACGGAAGAATAAATGGATGAACAATTCTTTAACAAAGCTGAACTATCTGTCACTCTCCAAGCCTTCAGGTTCTCAAGGCTTCTGTGTAGAGAACTGTCATACTCTGACGTTTGAAGTCATAATGACTTGTCTACTGTTAAGTACTGGTATATACTAATTTCTTTCCCATCCTCTACATGGTAGGAAGTAGGCTACAGCGCTCCTGGAGAGCAGAGTCCAGGCCTCACAACCTCCTATTATCATCCAACCTCACACTACGTTGACCAGTAAAAGAGTCCTATGCTTCAGATTTAAGATGGGAGTTAAGAGAAGTTCAACATTTCTGAAAGCCAACCCAGGACTTTAATGGTCTAGAATTCTCTAACTCCAAACAAAGCAAAAATATTTTGTCCACAATGTAGCTTAGTAGTAGAGAGCTTGCTTAACAAGCACAACGCATTAAGTTTTGCTGGGTGTGGTGGTACACAGCTATAATGCCAGCACTAGAGAGGCAGAAGCAAGAGGATTGTTCCAAGTTAAAAACCATTATTGTTTACATAGCAAGGTCTAGGACAACCAGGGTATATAGTGAGACCCAGTTTTTAAATAAATATATACATAAATAAATAGCAAAAATATTTTTCATAATGCCCAAAGCAATAAACCTGATATAAATAGCCTTTAAAATAAATATCAACAGTTGGGCGCAGTCGTGCACATCTATAATATAAGCATTTGGCAGGCTGAGGCAGGAGGACTGCTATTGTGTTTGAAGATAGCCTGGGCTGGTAGTGTGTTCAAGGCCAGCCTGGGCTATATAGTGAGACCCTGTCTCAAGAAAATAAGAAAGCAAACAAACAAACATACAAAGAGTAGACATCCACAAACCTGCTTGTTTAGCTTCAATACAGGCAACATTAATTTCTTCTTTCAAATCCCAGTTTTCATTGGCTATAGCTTCCCCTACTTTAACAAATCTTCCAACTGCCAAGTTGACAGCTTGTCCCACACGCTGAATTGCTTGCAGAGTTTTATCAGACTTTTTAGTGTTGTCTTTATGGTTAATAAGTGTGGTAATCTAAAAGTAAAAGATAAAAGCAACTTTCAAAATGTTTATCTCAATACTTAAAGAGAAGAAAAAAAAATATGTACCAGGAAGGCCAAGAAGATTAGGTCCAGAATATTGGACTAACCAGAGAGACTAAACCCATATTTGTAGAAGTTGTAGGCAAGGGCTCAGCCAGTAAAGTATCTTGCATCATTTCTCAAGACAATGCTTCTATTAATTGTGATTGTGAGTTCACCTGAGGGCAGTTATCTGGGACATACAGGCCCAGATGCTTTCCAGATCTTCCAACAGATCTTAAAGGCATGAGACTACATCACTGGTTCATAGAACACACAGAAAGCGAAAATACTTTGGGTCTAGTATCTTCTGTCTTGACCTGAGGTATGTGAGTAAAGAAAACACCTTCCACTGTGTTCCACTCCACTGCTCACCATGAAGTGGGTGTACAAAACAGCACTTGCACACTGGAGGTGTAGCTTAGTGGTGGAGTGCTGGCCTAGCATTTGAAAGGTCCTCAGTTTGATCCCTAGCACTCAAACTATATGTTTACTGAATTAACTAGATGCTTTAGAATGACCACTGTTATCTATGCTTTCAACCTGTTAGTGTTATCAGTCTCGAAGTACATGAAATATCAAGAGTTTTATTCTGAGCTCTGAAATAAAATATAGACGGTGACAAGCATAGCTCATTGAAACAAACAAAGCTCTTAAAAATTTCTTAGAACACTGTGCTGGATAGTTTTAGTGTCAACTTAACACACCTGGGTTGAGGGAGCCTCAATTGGGGAATTGCCTCCATTGGAATGGCCTGTGTCCATGTCCACAGGGCACCTTCTTGATTGTTGGGTGATGTGGGAAGGCCCAGCCCACTGTGGGTGGTGTCACCCTTGGGCAGGTGGGCCTGTGTTACATAAGAAAGCAGGCTGAGCAGGGGCCAGGGTAGCAAGCCAGTAAGCAGCATTCCTCCATGGCCTGTGCTCCAGCTCCTGCCTCCAGGTTCCTGTCCTGAGTTTCTACCTTGGGCTCCCTGATGAACTATGACCTGGGAGATGTAAGTTTAATAAACCTTTTCCTCCCCAAGTTGGTAGTGGTCAGAGTATTTTGTCACAGCAATGAAGAAACAAACTAAAACAGAAATTGGTACCAGGAGTGGGGTGTTGACTGTGAAGAACCTGACCATGTGGGGTTTTAGAGGAATGTGGAAGACTTTGGAAGTTTGGGCTAAAAAAGCAGCTGATTCCTGTAAATGGAGCTTAACAGGCCATTCTAGTAAATGCTGGAAGAAAGTTGTGCTTAGAAACACGTAGTTTCAGAGGGAAATAAGGACTTAAGCAGCACTTGGGATATTTTGGCAAAGAGTCTGGCTGGAGTCTGCCCTAGACCAAAAAGCTTGCCTGAGGCTAAGTTGAAAAGTAATGGATTAATTTCTTTGCCAGAAGAAATTTCAAGACAGCCTAATGTAGAAATGGTGGCATGGCTATTAATGGTAAATATTATACAGATCTACAGTGAGAGCAAATGGGACAGAAAGAAATACAGTTTGGATTGAAAAAGAGCACTAGGAAGATCAACGTTGGAGCCCTGGCATGTGATTGGAGAGGATCCCATTGATAAGGAGATTAAAGTGATTAAGGAGGGGCCTAGAGATTCAAACTTAAATAATAGAGAGAGTGTCTCCAGGGCAAGACCACACCCAGTTAACTCTCCAACTTGTGAAAGGAAAATGCTGCAGGGGCCACTGAAGAGAAAAGCTTCTAAAATGGATAAAGCAGGCTGGAGTCCATCCCAAACTTGCAGTCAAACTTGACAATGTCATTCACCTGGTGCTGGTTTTAGAGGCATGAAAGATGGAAGAGTGAAGGGGTCATCAATTCTTCCTCCGAAGTTTCAGAGAGCCTCAGAGGCCAGGCAGCATGAAGCAGGGATTCCCCTGCCTAGAGAAGGCCCTGATAGGCCATTTCTTGAAGCTGTAAAGGTGAAGCTGGTTGGCAATGGAGACCCCAAGAAGTTCGTGATGCCAGAGCTGTGAGGCATCTGCCAAGAAGACCTGCACACAGGGAGCGGTACCAGCACAAGAGAGAGATGTGTGTTGGGGATTTTGGCAGGACACCAAGACTATAACAGAAGTGGGCAAAAGCTTTAAAAGAAGATGAGGAAAGGGCTCAGTGAGTAAAGTGTTTGCTGTGCAATCCTGAGGGCCTGAGTAGGTGTCCCCAGAACCCATGTAAAGCCAAGGACAGTAGTGTGCACCTGTAAGCCCAGCATTGCAATGGGCAGACGAGAGGTAGAGACAAGAGAATTCTATCAAGAGACCCAGTCTGAAATAAGGGGAAAGATGGGGTATGACACCCAAGGTTGTCCTCTCACTGTGGCACATGTGCACCCCCAGTCACACACATACAGACACACATGCACACACATCATATACACATAATAGCCACGTATCGTGCACATACATTGTAACACACAGTTGGAAATTTTTCATTAGAAACCAGAAGAAAAAGGATCATTATGTAGTGGCAGAAAGTCACTCTCAGTGATATGGAGAGCAGAAAATATACCTCAAGAATTAGGTGGTCTAGCTAAGGTGATTTGAAGGAGGCTTTGAAGGTGATATCTGGTTGCAGTAAATATAAAAGAACAGAAAGAAATCAAAGAAAATGCTGTTAAATAAAATCAACCCCATGCGTGCTGGTTTTGAAAATTTTTGGCCAGATGGCACACCACAATAAATTTAAAAATGGCTTTCAGGCAAAAATAAAATCTAAGGTACTGTCAAGAAAGCAAAGTCTAAAGGTTCAGCTGAGGATATGACAATAAAATTACAGTCAGCACTCAAAAAGATCCAACGTGCCGGGCATGGTGGTACACCCCTTTAATCCCAGCACTTGGGAGGCAGAGGTAGGCGGATCTCTGAGTTCAAGGCCAGCCTGATCTACATAGTAAGTTCCAGGACAGCTGGGGCTATAGGGAGACCCTGTCTCAAAAAAAAAAAAAAAAAAAAAATACAGTCAGCTCTCAAAAAGATCCAAGATGGTATTCTAGTCAACCACTGAGTTAAACAAGTTTCCTAAGCTTAGATAGCCCTCAGTGGTCTCAGAGGCACCAAAGTTAGAGAAGAGATGATCCCAAGTTGTAGGGATGGCTTTGGTCTGACAGACCCAACCCAACATGACTCAAAGGAGACCAACAAATCAAGTGTCTGCAAAAACATCATCGGCTCAGACTGAAAGAAAAGGATCAATACAAAACGAAAGACTTTGTACTCCCAAGCTTCCAGAAGCAGGCTAAGAAAACCAGCTACAAACAAGGGCTACCTTTCCTGAAAAAAAGACATCTCAGAAGGTAATGCCAAGATACAGAACCAATTCCTGGGACTTGAATTTTAATCAAGGAACTGACAGCCTGAGTCCAGGTGCATTTCAGAATGTGATAAGCTAATGGTTCCTACTTCCCTCATTTTGAACTTAACATATAGCCATTATTCTACAGTTCCTACGGTGTAACAAGAAAGAGTTACACAGAAGAAACAGCTATGTAAAAGAGGCTCATCTGAACCAGATTTCTAGGTCAACCTGGATTTTTCAGGCCTGAGCTGTAGTCTTTGGGGAAGAAGATAAATACTTTGCCACCAGAGGTTAGAGAATAGTGGCCTTTGCTATTCTTTCCTTCAAGAGGCAGTCTCCACCTTCTCTCCTTAAAGTGCAAGCTGATGTAGTCACTTTTAATAGAATAAAGCAGGGTATGTAACTCAATTGAAAGAGTGCTGGCCTAGCACACAGGAGGCCCTGGACTTGATCTACAACGGTGCAAAACTGGGGTAGTGGCACACAGGCCACTCCCAAAAATAGTAGCAGGAGGATCTGGAGTTCAAGGTCATCCTCTGCCTAGGGTACTGAAGCTGCTGGACCACAGCTAGCTTCCTGACAATGGAGATTCTGTGGTCTGGAACTTCCCTAGTAAGCCATCCTTAAATTCCTGATTGATAGAACTTGACTGTTATTTTAATCTATTGTTTTATGTTACTTTGTTATTTGGCAGTAAAAATCATTTCAAATGTGTGTCTTGGAAAAGAATTCGCTGGCTTCTAGAACAGTAGCTTGGTAGGATGCCAAACACAGAAGCAGGGAGACCACATAGAAAGCTGTCAAAATAGTCCAGGCAGAAAATGTTGCTGCTTATAAAAAAGTGGTAATAGTCAAGGAGGAAAATGGGCAAGATGGGGAACATCTTGAATATGATGTGCTTGATGGACTAGATTGGTGGAATCAAAATGGCTCCTAGGACTGGGGAGACGCCTCAGTCATTAAAGTGCTTGCCATGAAGGCATGAGGACCAGAGTTTGATCCCAGAACCCACATAAAAAAACTGGGCACAGTGGTGCACATTTGTAGTCCCAGTGCTGGGGAGGTAGAGACAGGCAGAACCCTGGGGCTTGCTGGTCAGCCAGCCTAGCCTACTTGGGGAGCTCCAAGCCAGTGAGAGACCCTGTCAGAAAAAACAAGATGGATAGCACTTAATTTTTTTTATATATTTTATTTTTTATGTTATGTGTATGCATGTATTGCCTGCATATAGGTAAGTGCACTCGTGTGTGCAATGCCTGCAGAGGACAGAAGAGACTGTCGGATCCCGTGGAACTGGAGTTACAGTTTTTAGCTGCCATGTGGGTGCTGGGATTCAAACCTGGGTCTTCTGTAAGAACAGTCAGTGTTCTTATCCGCTGAGCCATCTCTCCAGCCCAGAGGATAGCATTTAAGAAATGACATTGTCAGGGCTGGAAAGATGGCTCAGCGGATAAGAACACTGGTTGTTCTTGCAGAAGACCTGGGTCCCAATCCCAGCACCCACATGGCAGCTAACAACTGTTCATAACTCCAGTCCCAGGGTATCCGACAGCCTCTTCTGACCTCCATGGGCATTGCACGTCACAGGTGCACTTACCTACATGCAGGCAATACAGTCATACACATAAAATAAAAATAATAAACTTTTTTTAAATTTAAA